GCGGCGTCAGGGGCTGCGATGGTGGCGGCGGCGCGGGGGTCGGCGAGGGAGGCAGCGGCGGCGACGGTGGTGGCGGCGGCGGCGTAGCTGGCGGCGTCGGCGGCGGGCTCGGAGGCGGGGTTGGAGGCGAGGATGGAGGCGGCGACGGCGACGGCACCAGCGGTGGGGAAGGCGAGGGCGGCGGCGGTGCCGCGGGAGGCGAAGAAGGCGGCGGCGGCGGCGGCGGCGGCGGCGGCTTCGGTGGCGGCAGTGGCGGGAGCGGCGGCGGCGGAGGCGACGGCGGCGGTGAATATATTTTTTCGTAGCACGTCGTGCCGCTCGAGGGCGTTGCGCCCGCAATCGCGTCCTCCGGTGCTTGCGCCTTATAGGTCTTGCACTCGACCTGACCTCCGACGAGCGGAGCGTAAAAGCTGTAGCCGATGCAGAAAGCGTCGACGTCGCAGGACCGGCGGCAAGTGGCGTGATTCTCCGCGTAGGAGAGGCTGTTGGACGTCGACGCGGAGTTGTATTTCCCAGGGCCGCCGGCGCGGTCTAGACACGCGCCAGCTCGCCCGAGGTACAAAACCACCATAGGATTCCCGGCTTGGGGGGTACCCATCGGTTCATTAAAACCGATGGTACCCCCCAAGAATTTACACTCAAAGAAACACACGACAAACACACCCCAAGGCGCAAGGGAGGGATGGGAGGACGTGTCGCCGCCACCACTGCACACAGAGTTTTTGCTGTGCACTTTCGCGGCACGCAAGGATTGTAAGGAGAAAACCACGGATTTGTTTGAGGGAGTGTGGTGCTAGCCGTCGCCCACCCTCGGGCGTTTCCCTCTTCCTATCTCGTTTCGCAGTCTCTCGCCACATTTGACATTTCTCGCAGCAACCTTTATGCCACCTCGCGCGGTCGTGCCACGCAGCACTCTGGCAGCTCGTGTTCCTGTGTTAGTGCCAGTGCGCGCCAGTCCCGTGTCGTGCGAGCGATTTCTAAATTCTTTCCCTCTTTTCACTTTTGGTACTCAAGGGCACTCTTTTGAGAGCCATCTGGCTTCTTGGCACCGACCGAGTCGAACTTGAGCTCGTTGATGAAAGTGTCTCCAGCGTGCAGACTCCGCCGTTGGCATTGCACTCCGATGCGAACAGTGCGAGCGGCGCGGAGCGTCGCCGCACCGCGCACACCGGAGAGGGGAGACGTGGCTCGTGGGGAGAGCGGAGAGGCAGAGCGGCAAAAGCCATGCCCAGCTGCCCAGGGCCCAGTCGCGCGAGCCCCGCGCGACCCCGCCAACCCGTCTACTCGTGGTAAACCGAGCGCGAAGAGAAAGCTACTAGCGCCGCCTCCAGTCGTTCCTCCTGTACTTGTAGCACGTGACCCCGCTCTCAGAAGAGCCGCCTTCGTTCCGGTGGCAGAGCGGCGTCACGCGGAAGCCGCCGGCCTCCGTGTACTCGAGCTTGATGTTGTAGCGCACCGAGCCCATAAAAGCCTCCACGTCCGCCTCGTGCTCAGCCCTGGACTCGGGCGTGGCGTGCTGCCCGCCCGGGCGCTGCGCGTGCTGCAGGAGAAGGGAGTGCCGGAGCACGGCGTACCAGTAGCAGCTTATCGCGCCTAGGCCCAGCTGCTCGGCGGCAAAGCGCTGCCCGGCGGCGGCGATGCGCGCCGCCGCTACCTCGCCTTCGGCGCTCTCGTAGTAGGCGAGCTTTGCCCGCAGATCTGGCAGCAACGTTGCTCGAAAGTCGCGCGCGATAAGATCTTCATTCTTGCTCCATATCTTGGAGAGCCGGATCGGCACGTGCGTCTTGTGGGCCTGCAGCGCTGGATAGTAGAACTCCTCGAAGGAGGTGTCGATCAGCAGCACAAGCGAACCGCAAGCGAGCTTGTACTTGAGCGACGCCGAGTAAGCGTTGCCCTCGAGATGCAGCAGGTAGCGCGAGCGGCATTGCTCCGTCAGGTTGAGACGATACCTGATGGCACGCGCGTTGAACCTGCCAGACGTGTCCTGCACGTCTAGTGGCACGGCCGTCTCGTTTCGCGCACATGCCATCAGGTTCGGCACGAGCGCGCCCCTCATCCGCGAGCCCGAGACGGTGCCGCGAAAGGTGAGGCGGCGCTGTCGTAGCCTCCACGCCTGCCTGCCTTCGGCACCCTCTCTCAAGCGGCGCGAGATGGCATCCCAGCTGGTGTCAGGCTCGCGGCCGCTCAGCTTGCCGTACGAATGGAAAGTGAAGTCTGGCACCGGGATCTCGGCCTGCGTCCGCTGGCCGCACATTGCAAAATGCGGCAGCCGATGCTTGTTCCGCCTCTCTGAGCGGGGCGAGGCCCTTGAATTTCCTCTCCGCAGGGCCGTGCGCCGCAAACGACTCGTTGAGCAGGTCAAAGGTGCGCTGGCGCGGACCCGCACGCATCGTCTCCATGGTCCAGTTGTGGTGGAACTCGAACCATCTTTCGACCGATGGCATGATCCATGGGTGAAGAGCATTGCAGCGCTCCTCCCTGTCCGAGGGCGTCGCAAAGAGGCGGGAGAGGCTCTCCGCATACTGCGCCGCCGCATCATCAGCAAGCCTACTTGGCCCGCCAAGGTACGCTGGGCGGACATATTCGGCTGTGAAGGCACGCTAAATGACCACTGGGTCCGCGTCGACGCGGCGGCAGGCAGCGAGTTCGTGGACCAAAGCGAGTACGAAGCCTTTGCCCGATGGTCGTTCAACGTCCTCGACGGGTCGTTCAACGTCCTCGACGAGGCTCGGATGACCGGCGTCGAGATCGACCCACGCGCGGTGACTCCTTCGGTCTGTGGGGCAGATTAGCTGGGCGGAAGAAGGTCTGACAGCGCGGTCTTCCGAGATGTTTGCGGCCGCAGATGACGCGAAACAAGCATGCGACAGCCAATGGTCGGGATCAGCAGATAAAAAGAATTTTACAACCAAACTCTCTCACAATTCAACCAGGGCTCCCTTGGGTTGTCTGTTTTCTTTCTTTCTTTCTTTCAACCAGGGCTCCCAGCACACAGGTTCGACACCGTCATCATCTATGTGATGGGCTTTGCATGCGCCCCGCGCGAGACATGTACAGAATGTGCAGAAGGGGCGCGCGGGTGGGCTGGAGGGGGCTCGCTGCAAGGAAGGGCGGTGTTAGAGGCCGATCCCCGTAGTCCGCCCCGTTCCTCCCCATCGGGCCGCGTGAGCGGCCTCGCCTCGCAGATTCGTTTCTCGCGCCTGGGTCAGGCGCGCGGGGCATCCCCCGGGTCGCTCGACCAGCGATCCGAAGAGTGGCCGCTATGCGAAGGATAGAGCGGGGCCCTCGACGCCTCTGTCCGGCCCTGCCTCCGAGGGGGGAAGGGAATTGCGGGGTCCCCACGGGCGCCTCTCTTCGGCCCTCCCGGGGGAGCAAGGGGGTGCGTGGGGGGGGGTCGGGGCGATGGGGAGGGGTCTCGGTTTCGTGTGGCTAATACTTGCCTTTCGGGATGGTTCCGCGTGCCCTTGCTGCCTACCAGGTCGCCTTTCCTGTCGCAGATAGCGGCCG